GCGATTTGAGTCTGAATGCGAATTGCCATCAAATCCGAATTCGATCGAATATGAATATGACTGAGTCTGAGGCAACACTTCTAGGGTCTGGAAACCCTGCGCAGGGGCCCGCCGTGCGCAGGGTGGGAGGGGCAAATTGAAATATATACGCTTGACCTAGTTGTATGACGAACGTTGAAAAGTTATGAAAAATTATGAAAAAGTTATGAAAAGTTAGGAAGAATTGTCAACAAGTTATGATAGTTATGAAAAATAAATGAAAAGTTATGAAAAAGATATGACAATATATAAAAAGTTATGACGCTATAAGTCGAGTTATAATAATACTTATAGGCGTGACGCTAAACTTGATTATAAGTTTCTTACAAACCTGGTTATAAACGCCACAACCCCAAAATCGATGAAGTGGCTGATATCGCGGCCATGGCGAGATCTCCTCGAGGTCCTGGCCAGAGCGCAGCCCTGGACGGGTCGGGGGGCCGATGGTAGGACCTTCCCAACCCAGACCTCCAGCGTAAGTTACGGAATTGTGCCCCTCCTGGAAGTCCCGACGCTTTCCCCAGGGCAGGCTTTTCACTCGATCCAGCGAGGGCCCCCCCCGGAGGCCGAACCCTACAAGACACACTCTGCCGCACGGCGCGAGCATGGCCCAGGGAGCGTCAAAGACCGGGGATGAAAAAAAACAGTCAACCGGTCCCCCGGGGCCCACACACGTACCGTCGGGGCCAGCCGCAGAGGATGCCACAAAAGGGCGCTGGGCTGTTCCAAAGGCAGCCCGTGCCCCAAACGTGCAGAACAGGACACCCTCAATTCTCGGTCGGGAGCTTTTGTTCAACGTGTCGCGGCGGCGGCGGCCCCAGCGGCGCGCCAGACGCGCTGGGGAAAACTCGGGACGTTGATGTTTGGGGACTGGGACGTGGGACGTGCTTCGAGTGTCGCGCCGAAGCGTGGTGGGCCAGTACCAGCGGCGCGACACGGTGGGCCAAACTTCCGAGCCGCGCTTAAACCCGACCGCGTTGACAACAACACGACGTCGGACGGCGAGGGCCAGAGGGGGGAGGCGGGGGTGGGGAAGAGCGACGGGGGATGGGGGGATGATGACCACCTCTCCGTCGTCCACGTCCACGTCCTTGCTCTCGTCCTCCTCGTCCTCGTCTTCGCCGTCGTCGTCGTCGTCCTCCTCCTCCTCCTCCTCCTCGTTCTCTGCTTCCCCAGAAACGACCGACCCAACGGCGGCAGCTGATGGAAGGGGCGAACAAACATTGAACCTGTTGTTTTCGAGTTTGCCGAAAACGTCTGGGAGGTTTCGGGACGCTGAGCAGGAGGAGTGAGGGAAGGAAAAGAAGGGTCTCAAGGGGGGGGGAACGCATGGGGGTTTTATGCGGCTCTTTGGTTTCATGGAAGTTCTCGCCGACAGCGGGCTGTCGGATGCAACTGATGCCATCTAGGCCTGCAGCGAATATATACGTATAAGCTGCTCTTATTTTGAAGACACTTTTTTTCACGAGCCCGCGATCCAAAGCTCCACGAGAGACCACCCTTTTCGGAATGTCAGCACCACTTTCTTCTGGAAACCAATATCTATTTTTTGCGAAGCTCCACACTTCGCCACGCTAGAAGAACAACAACCGGCATACACATAATTTCCTGGTTCGGCCCGCGCCGGGCGCGGCTTGCGAGACGCGGCCGTATTCGCGCTCTCGCGCCGCCCCCTCTGAGGACAAAGTACCATACTTTTTTTTGGCGTCGTGGCCCCGCGCGCGGGGATCGGGCGTAGAACATCGAGTGCAGGCAGTGGAGAGAGCGCATCTATGCCCGAGCTCTCAAAGACCGCTCAGGGTCTCGCAGCCGGCAGCAACCATAACCATCAGGGCCTGGATGGCGGGGAAGGGCGACGAGTAGACGAAACTACGGTGAGGGCGGAGGGCAATACACACACTCAAACGTGTAGGATTCAACCCCGAAATGCCTGGAGGTCGCAAGTGGGTGCTAGTCGTCAGTCCATGACCCTCGAAAAGAACGGCCATCCTGCTAGTACGAAGCCAGGGCAGGGATTCAATCGGACAAGGCCACATCGGGGATCGCTGAGATTTGGCCGTTCTGGAGGATGCATCTGGCGCCGCGGCCGTTCTACATTGTCCTGGAAAGCTCCGAGAGAGTTCTGAAAAACTCTACGACATTTTGTTTTGTACCAACCATCCTGTGGTGATGGGTCCTACTTTTTCGAAGAGACAGCGCTCCGCGTTCCTGTTTTTTCTCTTCCTCCTCCTCCTCCTCCTCCTCCTCCTCCTCGCCCCTCCTTCCCATCCTCCTATCCCTGCCTCCGGCCTCCGCACCCACTGCAGCGTTTCGTGGCCCCAAATGACTGTGACCACATGCGCCCGCGCAACCCAATACAGCATTTCGTAGCCCCATGGGCAGCTCAACCGAACGCCCCAGTGGCTATGACCACATGTGCCCGCGCCACCCAAGGTGGCCCCGTGGGGAGCTCCACCGAGTGCCCCCGTGGCTGTGACCACATGCGTCCGCGCCACCCAGTACAGCGCTTCGTGGCCCCATGGGGAGCTCCACCGACTGTCCCAATGGTTGTGACCACTTGCGCCCGCGCCACCCGGTACAGCGATTCGTGGCCCCACAGGGGACTCCACTGAATGCCTCCGTGGCTGTGACCACATGCGTCCGCGGCACTCTGTATAGAACTGCGTGACCCCATGGGGAGCCCCACCGAAAGCTCCACTGGCTGTGACCCCACATGCGTCCGCGCCACCCAGTATCGCGCTTCGTGGTACCGTAGGGAGTCGCACCGAAGGTCCCAGTGGCCGTGACCACATGCGTCCGCGCCACCCAATGCAGCGCTTCGTGGCCCCATAGGGAGCCCCACCAAGGGCCCCAAGGGCCGCGACCACATGCGGCCGCGCCAACCAGTACAGCTTCTCGTAGCCCCATAGGCAGCTCAACCGAACGCCCCGGTGGCTATGACTACATGCGCGCGTCCGCGCCATCACATACAACGCTGCGTGGCCCCATAGGAAGCCCCCCCACCGAATGCCCCAGTGGCTGTGACCACATGCGTCTGCGCCACCCAATGCAGCGCTTCGTGGCCCCATACCGGATTCCACCGAATGCCCCAGTGGCTATGACCACATGCGCCTGCGCCACCCAGTACAGCGATTCGTGGCCCCATAAGGAATTCCACCGGAGGCCCCAGGGGCTGTGACCACATGCGTCCGCGCCACCCAATACAGCGCTTCGTGGCCCCATGGGGAGCTCCACGGAAGGCCCGTGGCTGTGACCACATGCGTCCGTGCCACCCAGCACAGCGTTTCGTGGCCCCACAGGGAACTCCACTGAAGGCCCCCGTGGTTGTGACCACATGTGTCCGCGCCACCCAGTGTAGAATTTTGTGACCCCATAGGGAGCTCCAAAGAGGGTCCAGTAGCTGTCGTCACATGCGTCCGCGCCGCCCAGTACAGCGCTTCGGGGGCCCATGGGGAGCTCCAACGAGTGCCCACGTGGCTGGCCACATGCGTCCGCGCCACCCAATACAGAATACAGTGCTTCGTGGCCCCATACGGAAGTGCACCGAAGGCCCCAGTGGCTGTGACCACATGCGTCTGCGCCACCCAATACAGCGTCTCGTAGCCCCACAGGGAGCTCCACCGCTGGCCCTGGTGGCTGTGATCACATGCGTCTCCCCCGCTCATTTTGGCACAACTCTCTCGTGCGTTTCGCGGCCTGCCCCCAGTGAGCTCCACCGAAAGCCTTGGCGGCGGTGTCCACGTGCGCCCCCCCGTCCATTTCGGCATACCCCTCACATGTCTCGTGGCACCGTACAAGCTTCCCCTCCTTCGTGCCACCTGCCTTGCGGTACTCACAATTACACATGGTTGGGTCCTTCGCCAAAATGATTTCCAAACGTGGGCCCCCGACCTCTCAACCATTTCTTGGGGACCGGTTTGTCATGCCGAGTCGCTTTTTGAAAGTCCCGAGGCCAGGCAAGGGCCCCGAGAAGCCGAAAAGTATGAACAACCTCCGTCTCGTCTTTTTCTAAACGCTGGATGTCTGTATTCTGGAACGCTCTGCGAGCCTTCCGGAACGTTTTGGAACACATTATCTTTGTCCCCGCCCCGCCCGAGACGGCCATCCAGCCCAGATCTTCGTCCCCTGCGGGTGCCTCAGGTTCAGAAGCAAATCCCAGGAGGTGTTTGTGAGAACGGTCAATGGCTAGCAAGATACATTAAGGGGCCGACAGCCGAATCGTGCTGGATTAATCAAGCCTGGATTTAAACGGGACTAACAGGATGAAACTGGATTGAACGGGACTATGCTGGAGTAAGCCGGTCTTCGACCACGGATATACCAGTCCCGATGCTGAATCCAGGCTCCCAGGAATCTTGTTCAATCCCAAGTGTCTCATCGGCAACGATTTTGAAATTCCACTCTACACTCCATGCCAATTTCCGTTCGGCAACGCTTTGAAACTTGGCTCCGTTCATGGGCCTGATAGCGTCCGTTCATGGCGGCCGTTGACCAAGTAAGCAGCTCCCGACCCCTCCTTCTCCTGAAGTCCCTCCTCATTCTCCTTCCCCCCCCTCACCTTCCTCCTCATCACCCCCCTCTATGAATGACAGCTGGTGTTTCCGCAATGACCTGGACAGAGCCTGTGCTCAAACATGTCTAGCAGCTAGGCGCACGTGCGCGGCCCCCTGCGCGGAGCACAGGGGACGTGTGAAGGTGATGTGACAAACATTGTATGGTGCCGCACACGCGCTCACGTAGGGGTGAGTCGGCTGTGTGCACACATTACCAAGGACTCCATTTCTGGTTTCCTGCAGTCCACATAGACCTACACCATTTCCACAACCGACCCCGATTTGAAGCACATCCAGAACACGGTCAATCACCATAGCTCGTGCCCCTCTGATACCGACGTGCAAACGCCACGAAATCGACATCTCATTGTCCAAGCCAGGAGGCACACTGCGCTGGGGGCGCCGCTCCAGATACGTGGGGTCGTACTTGGTAGTCTGGCGGCGCGGGATGAGATACGCGAAGAAACAGAGGAGGATAACGAGTGGGAAGAAGCGGATAATGAGAAGGAGGGAGACTAGGAGGAAACAGCGGGGAGGCCGATGTGCAAATGTAGTAGTGCGAAGGAGGCAAGGGCGTGCAGGGGTCCAGGCTCGGACTATGCACTACATCAGTGGCATAATCTGATCTGCAGGATATTGTACTACGACGTGATCTGGAGAGACTTTAGCTGTGCACTTGGAGCACCCAGAAATTCCCAAACCTCCAGAAGTGAGGGCTCGACGCGATTCTGGAGATTTTCCCACATTGGCTTGCCTGAAGGACTCCTACTTGTCTTGTGTCAGGAAGCGCTGCCTGGGCGCTCTTGTCAGGCCAGCCACTCGCGACATGGACACAGGTGCGATGCTACGCAATGATAAGACATGCTTGGCTGTGCGATGCCGAACAATAATGCGCGATGTAATGCCATCCAATGCTACGCTGCGTCCTGCAGCAGTCCATGGCATGCTGCGCTGTGTCGTGCCAATCCATGCTGCGACAATCAAAGCTTTGCTATGCTGCGCGATGCCCTGGACAGCGGGGCATATCATTGCTTTGCGCCCCACTGAATTGCATTGCGCATGCACGCCTCTAACGAAACATCTCCAAATGGGTTCGCGCTGGGTCTTGTGGCCTCGGGAAGCTTTGAACACCCTGGTGAATTATAACAAAATGTTGACGGTTCTTTGTGTGCGTGTGTTTGTTCGTGGTGGTGGCGGGGACCCTCGTGGAGAGGGGTGCGCTGTGCCGCTGACGGAAGGCGCGGAGCCGCTCAGCCCTCGCACGCCCGTCGTGTCAGCCTTGCGCAGGCAATATCAGGTTGAACGCACAAGCGAACTCACGGGGAAGAGGGAAGGAGGGATCGGGAAACTCGGAAAGCTTAGAGGCCGACCTTCAGCAAAAGGAGACCGCATGCAGCGTGTAACTTGGCCACAAGCGCGGTCGACTGCTACGAGTGCGTCGCGGCGCAAGCCTTACGTCATCGTGGGTAGCTGAACGCGGGGCTCTAATGGAGGAGAGGGAAGAGCGCGCCAAAAAGAAAAGGGCGCTCAACATGAGCATGAAGGATTGTGCAACCCGCTAAACACGCCCCGCAAATAACCAGAAGCACATAGCCTACTCCACGCCGTTTAGACAACATAGTTTGCAACACATTGCGTCCACCAAATAGTTTGCAATCGATAACACCACACGGCTTCCGCAACATATCTGGCACATCCCATTGGACAACGACAAAGAACCCCATTTGGACAACCAACCGGACTTTCTTCGTACAGCGTACCACGCGCGTCCAATGAAACAACGTGGGTACACAACCAAAGGGGCGCGCTTGAATCCAGGATGGGTTACTAATAACAACTCGGTCGCGGCATCCACGACCTTGAGGTTCGATGCGTCCCCCTCGTCTCGTCCTCTTCCTCGTGCTCCCAGTCCGCACGTTCCTCCTCCCGTGTCCGTTTCCCTCCCTCTGTCTGTCGGTCAGTCTGCCGACATGCCTGTCTATATGCCTGCTTGTCACACTCTCTCTCTCTCTCTCTCTCCCTTTGTTTCTCGCTCTCTTCCTGTCTGTCTGTCTGTCTGACTGTCTGTCTGTCTGTCTGTCTCTCTCTCTCTCTCTCTCTCTCCGTCTCCCCTTTCTAACAACATGCAAATCACCGTCGTACATACAATCCATCATTCGCATCGCCACCTTCGCGGCCCCCCGCAATTGGCACAATGACTTGTTAGATAAACAACCAGACAAAGGGGGACGTTACATACGTGCAAAGCGCGAGATTGAGGATTGCCATGGCAAATAACACTGATTCGACGACTACCACATATATCATCCGAACAACAAGCCGATGTCGTACTTTCCGCCGGGCACAACAACCTGAAGGCGACCAATCGGGCCTCCTTTGCGCGATGGCTCGGCCTGGCGCATGCGCGCACCAACTTGCACGAATGAGGTTCGCTCGACGTTGGCAACCCTGATATTTCGGGTAGTGCTTGAGCATGGTCACAAAGCTGCGCCAAGCGTCTCACACTAGGTTGATAATTGGCATCATGCGCCAGGTGATGTCGACGTGGGTGATGTTGTGCCCTTTGTGAAGCCTACCGTGTGTCTAGCCACGTGGGTATACCCCCTCACATTCCGAAGGCGAAGGGCTAGCGGCTGGCTATCCTGCTTCGCCCCCGGGGACATGTGGAGCATCGGACGACAATGTGCGGCGACTGAATGCTGGCACGAGGGGCAAGGGTCCACTAACATTTGCTGTTTGGATCATGTCTGGCTCGGGCGGCACGGGGAAAAGGGCATTGGAAAACTGGAAACGGCGAAGCACGTCAAGACCATTTTCCCCCAGGACCCGTTTTCTTCATGAGGGTTTCCGCCATCTCAGAGTCCTCCTCCTCCTCCTCCTCCTCCTCCTCCTCCCGTCATCGTCTCTTCTGTCAGTCAGTCAGTCCGCCTGTCTGCCTACATGCCTGCCTGCGTGCTTGTGTGTTTGGCTGTCTGTCTGCCTGTCTGTTTGTCTGCCTGTCTGCCTGTACCTGTCTTTGTCTTTGTCCCTCTCTCTCTCTCTGTGTTTCTGTCTCTCCTTCTCTCTTCCTCTGTATCTCTGTCCCCCTTCCTCTCTTACGATCTCTCTCTCTCTCTCTCTCTCTCTCTCTCTCTCTCTCTTTTGCGCCATCGTATAAATAATCAATATTTCCATATCTGCATCGCCACCCTCGCGGCCCCCGCAACTGGGAGCGCGAACCGTTCGACGAAAAACCAAAGCAAACACGACATGCAACAGACATGGAACACGCACGCTCCAGGAATGACGCGGCGAACGCACGATGCACTGACATCGATCAATACTCTGCGATGGGAACTACTCCAACGCTCAGCCCAATGACGAAAAGCATCGTGTTCGAATTTTCGCCAGGTGAAAACAATTATCCAAGCGAAGGGCCCAACCATCTGCAACTGTGCAATTTTCGGTGAAACCCCCTACGGGGGCACCAAAAGTGTAAGGGGTGTGCCGACATGGGGCGGGAGCGCCTTAGATGTGCCAAAGTGGGGCGGGAGCGCCCTGCGAACCCTGCCACTGCGCCTTCGGTGGATCTCCCTATGGGGCCACGAAACGTGTGAGGGGTGTGCCGAAATGGGGCGGGGCCGCCAGGCGAACCCTGCAAATGGGGCGTTCTGCCGGGCTCCCAAAGGGCTACGAAACGTGTGACAGGTGTGCCGAAATGGGTGGGGCCGCAGGGCGTACCCTGCCACGGGCAGCGAAACATGTAAGGGGTGTGACAAATTGGGGCGGGGCCGCCATGCGAACCCTGCAACTGGGGCCACGAAACGTGTGACAGGTGTGCCGAAATGGGGCGGCGCCGCTATGCGATCCCTGCAACTGGGGCCTTCGGTGGAGCTCGCTACGGGGCCACGAACAACGTAAGGGGTGCGCCGACATGGGTGGAGACGATGACGGTGGTGATGACGGTGACGATGATGATGATAGTGCTGATTATGATGTCGAAATGTGTAGGGAACGGGAGGAAGGAGGAAGGAACGCGGGGCGCTGTCTCGTCAAAACCAGGACCCAACACCACAGGATGATTGGGAGAAACCTGAAGGAAACCAATCCTGCCCCATTGGCGCGATTGCTCGGGTTGACGCACACGCGCATCAAGTGATGACCATGTTGTGAATACGACGCTATTAACTCTAAACTTGTTGTCACCAGAACTTGACAAAACGTATAACCCAGGTAGATCATCGGCACCATGAGCCGGATGATGTAGACGTGATTGATGCTGTGACTTCTGTAACTTCTATCCTGTGCCTGGCCACGAGCACATCCCCCCATCACAGTCCGAAGGGCTAGCGGCTGGCTCTCCCGCCTTGCCTCTAGACCTCTCTGGGGCATTGGGGAAAAGTGTGCGGTGACTGATGTGGGGCATGAAAGACAAAAGATCCGGGAACCACCTTTTCATTCCGAATCGTTGACGACCCCAGCGGGAAAGGGCCACGGAATGCTGAGAGTGGCGAAACACTTCAGGCCCCTTTTCCCCTGGGCCCACCTGGAGTCAAACTTGGGGAAGGGGCCCCACGCCAAGGAGACGGACGCCGCCCGCGGGTCGCAACACAGCTCGCTGGACGTCGCCGAAGACGCGGCCGGGCGCCGGAAACTCGTAGAGCGAGAGCACGGGGAGTCCCCCAGCACCGCTGCTCAGAAGGCGCACGAGGTGCGCGACCTGCCGAGGGCCTCAGGAGTTCGTTTTGGTTTGCAATCCGCGGCCCGAGGGTTCCTTTCCTTCTCCTGGCGTAGTTATCCGCCCCGGATCCGTTTCTGATGGCCCTCGGGTCCGAAAGCGCCCCCCGAGGGTCGAGATCGACGGAAGACGCCAAGTTTGAAGAAACAAAATCGCCGGATGCCTGAGCCTGGCCGTGCTTTCCTGGGACAGCGGCTACTGACTTTGAGCGGCCATCGGCGTCTTCGAATGCCAGCCACTCGATGTTGTCTCTGACATGATATAGCTGCTGGTCATCGATCACTTCAGATGTCAGCCATCCATTGCCAGGCGCAGTCGAATGCAGCTATCGGGCTCCCCATGGACGATGGATGGACGATCGTATCGTGATGCGTCTCCCCTTGAGCCTTGAGCTTATTTTCCCCCCTGATTTCTGGTTCTTCCATGGATCGGCGACTCCGATGGGTGCGATTTGCAAAGTGTGCGGTTCGCAACGCACACCCTGGGGGGCGGGCCAGGACCTCCAAGAGTCCCCCGCCGCGCCCCGAGGAGGCCCGACGAGGGCAACGTGGCGCCCCACAAGCCCTAAAGATACAGATCGCAAACCACACCCCAGCGTCACCACACCCTTTGTGTAATCGCCGGATGGACGCCGCCGGGCCCTGGGCGCGGGCGCGCGGGGCCGGCGGGGGGGCCTCGAACGCCTGGGTCAGGGCGAAGGTCACCATGCCGCCCCGAAGCACGGCCTTCCGCGGGGCGGCCCGCGTCGCGCGGCCGCGCGCGCGCGCGCTCGGTGCGCCCTCGGAGGCCCTCCTCCGACGACGGGGAGAGCTCGGACACGACGACGACGACGACGTCGACGTCGACGAAATCGACCTCGTCGTCGTCATCCGAGTCCTCGTCGCCGGACGATGACAACGTCGATCTCGACGACCCAGGGGGTTCGCGCGGGCGCGCGCGGTATCGAGAAGCCAGGAAAAGTAAGCACCCCAGCAAAGCACCCCAATACCAGCAATGGCGAAGAAGCGGGTCGAGGGGTAGGAGGTCGAGTCACGGCCATGCGTACTTTCCTGTATTGTCCAACAGGGGTCGTGGCCGCCTGGGCCAAACATGTAGCCATCATTCAAGTGAGAACACGATTCCTGAATACATTATGAGGAAGTCTCAGGCGTAACGGTTGCCAACACCCTTCCTGAGATGAGGCCGTTTCTTTATCCAACAATTTAGCGATTTTACCTTTGGGGAGGGAGCGGCAGCACAGCATAATGCCTGACGGTTGCAGTACCGCGAGCGGGACACTCTGCATGGCAGCATGCTGGACCCTGGCAACATCACAATAATCTGCCAACCCTGCACGTGTTCGCGAAGATCACAACATGTCTACGATCACCAACGCATGCCCGTGAGAGGCTTTCGGGCGTTACCTTCACTGCGGGGATTTGTTTTTTCGGGGGGGTGAAATGTGTGACGCCCGGGCCAACCGGCCCCAACAGCCCAACGGCTCCAGGTGGTTTCGCAAACCGCCCGCGTAGAAGCTTACGCGAGAAGCTTGCGAACCGATTCTCGTACACACGACCTCGTCATTCTACGCCACCCACGTGGACCTGTGGAAGAGATGCGTCATGTATAACGACTGCATGGGTCCGAAGGAAGACGACACAGACATGACATCGCCGCTTCCAGACCATGGGAGATCCTGTCACATGCTACGGCCCTCCAGAGCCCAGCGACTGTAACCGATCTTCCAGGCGGTTCTCGAGCAATCGCCACACAGAGTGCTGCGTAAGCGGAGTGGAGGAGCCTGCCGTGGGCACGTCGATCAGAAAGAGCGAAAGAGAAGGAATGATGGGAAAATGGAGAAGGAAGGCGTCAAGAGGCGTGGCCATATTTCGCTACGGGTTTTTTTGGACGGGGGAAGCTGGAGGATGGAGGATGAATGAGGAAGACGGGCCTCCTCCTCCCTCGCCCTCCTCCTTTTACGTTAGACGGACTTGAGCAATTAGGCTGTATCGTTTGGGTGGCGGGGAAAAGCACTGAAACCTGCAGACTAAACGGTGCAAGAGATGTCAAGAGAAGCGGACAAGTGGAGGGCCCGCGAGGGCAAAGAGTATTAGAACTGCAGGCGTCGGCAAAGAAAAATCCCTCCTCCTCCCCCTCCTGCCTCCCTCCCCTCCCAGCGCCAGCTGGCACGAGCCGCCGCTCTGCGCCAGCCAGCGCCATCGGCGCATCGGCGCTTCCCCGCGCCGCCTCCCCGCTCTCCCCTGCTCCCGTCCCCTCGGCCGCGCTATGGAGGCGCCTCCCGCGGCCACCGCAAGCCGCCGCAGGCCGCCGCGGAAGGCTGCCGCGCGTCGCGCGCAGTACACGAGGGCCGAGGCGCGCGCGTCAGAACACCTTCTGCGCGCCTTCGCAGCCCTCACCAGCCATCGTGGCCGCCAGCCATCGCAGCTGGCCTAGGCGGTGGCCTCGGCGCTGGCGGCGGCGCCAACGCCCTCTGCGCAGCGGGGCGCAGCGGCCTCTCCCTCTCCGGATGCTATCGCTCCCGGTGCCCATGGAGGCGACGCGGCGGCTGCAGTCCCCTCGTCTCCGCTGGCAGCGGGACCAGCGGCCATGGCTGCCGAGGCGGGCTTTCCAGACCACGGGGTTCTCGGTCAGCGGCTGGCGGCAGCGGGCGACGACGTGGTGGTCCCGGAGGGCGAGTTCACCTCCCCCTCTGCCCCCCCCTCTGCACGGCCTCCTTTTCTTCCCCGCGGCACCCCAATCCCAGGCTTTCCGCCTAGGACGCGGGCGGAGGCTGATCCAGGCCCCAGCCCTGCCACTGCCCTAGGCCTCGCGCAGGGCTTATGCCCGCCACCATTTTTTCGGCAAGTCTCTGTACCTTCACGGCCGTCAAGGCCAGTACCACTCCCAGTACGCCCTGCAGCGCCAGCGCCGCCAGCACCTTCACGGCCGACAGGGCCGGTGCCAGTACCCTCACGCCAGCCAGAAGCAGTGCCAGTGTCAGTGCCGTCGCCAGGGCAGCCATCATGTACGCCACCGGGGATCACAGCAGCGGAGGCGAGGGCCTGCCGCGCGGTGCTGTCAGCCTCGAGTAATCTGTTCGCGGCCCCGCAGCAGTCACAGGCAGACCCAGTGCCAGGGGCGCAGCTGCCGAGCCCCACTGTGCAGAGTCCGCCACGCCACGACGACTCTAGGCCCTTTTTCACCTGTACCCCAGCACGTGCCGCCTTGGATGCAGCGGCCGCAGCGCGGCGCGTTGCCGCATCTGCCGCGCACCAGTCTCCGCCATAGGCGGCTCGAGTCACCAGCCATCCTCCAGAGCTCAGCCAGTTTTTCCCGCCGAAGGCGGAAAGCCAGAGCAGGGAGGGGGATGGGCAGGTATGGCAGTTTTTTGCGGCAGGTCTGGCTGCCCTCTCTGGCCTTCGCGCACAGCTACTTTGTACAGCTCGGCCTCTCCTGAAAGACGGGGTGGAGCCCACATGGGAGGGGTCGGCCACGCCCTCCTGAAAGACGGGGTCGAGCCCACATGGGAGGGTGTGGTGCCAGCGCCAACTGGCTTCGGACCTTTTTCGCGGGCCGGCAAGGCAGCAATCTCTGGCACTTGCGAACAGCTACTCTGTACAGCACCAGGCCCCTCCTGAAAGACGGGGTCGAGCCCACATGGGAGGGGCCTGCCGTGCCCTCCTGAAAGACGGGGTCGAGCCCACATGGGAGGGCGCGGCACTCGCGCACGGCACGCAAGCACACAGGCCCTGGCTTTTTCACCGCAGCGCGGCCTCACGGGGAACCCCCGCCCTTCTCCAGTCCAGCACTCCTCCCCTGGAGGTTTGGACAGCCGCACGGCAGCCTGGCCAATTTGGCCCTCCTTCCAGCTCTTCCCTCTCCTTCAGCCGACCGCAACCTGGACGGCACACCTAGGCAGGTTTCTCCTTTTTCCAGCCTTGTACTGCTCTTTGCCTCGAGGGCTGCCCTGCTATGGGCAACGAAGCAGGGCTCCGCTGATGTCTCTCTTCGCACGGAGCTGCAAACTCCTCCTCTCTCTTATAAGATTCCTCTCTCCCCCCAATCTATGATTCCTCTCTTCCCCTCCCGCAGCGCCAATACCTCTCTCCCGACAGTTTTCGGGACGAGAGCGGAAGCAGCTCAGCGTCCATGCTCTCGGGCTTCTCGTGCGCAGCCTGTGCCAGTCCTGTTGGCCGCTGCGCTCAAGCTAACTTGCAACGAGCTAAGTATAGTCAAAAAAGCCCTCCCCTCCCTGCCTGCCTCCTCGCAGAGGCGCCATCCGAAGCCGGCAGCCCTGGGCCGCTCGCCAGACTTGGCTGGGCCCACGGCCCGAGCCAGGATAATCCAGGTGGAGCGGGGGGACCGGGCGAGGCGCTGCGCGCTCGCGGCGAGGCGCAGCTGCTGAAGGCATCCCGAGGCAGGACAACCTGCAGGAACCGACGGGAATACGCAACGAACACATGTGCACAGAAGCCCTCCGACTAATTCTGCGTGTGCCTTCAGGGAGGGCGGCGGTGTACAAAAGTCGCTGACTCCCCGTGGTCATTTCCACACCGTCGCCCACCCCTGAGGCCCAGGAACAATCCACTGGAGGATGTCAGTGCCTTTTTTGTTGCGGAGTGAACGTCCGAAGACGTTCTCGGCGGCGCGCCCGCAGGGGAACGTGAGAATGGGCGGGCCTTCACAGAAGGCTCGGAATTCCCCCAGCCTTCTGGGGAGTTTGCTCAGCCTTCCTCGAAGACGCAGAAGCCCTCTCAGAATGCTGGAGGCCCTCTGAGAAAGCTCCGCCGCCTTCTGAGAAGGCCTTCGATTCTCCTTCTCACTGCCCTCCCTCGCTCGCCGTCGACGTTCCGCCGACTAGAAGCCTCCGGCGAAGGGTCACTTTTGCAGTCAGGCTGCGTCCAGGAAAACAGCCCCTCGTCGGCTCCAGAAGCGCCGATAGGTGCAGAAAGAGCGCCGGAGGAGCAGCCGCGGAAAAGCCCCAACAACAGCGAGCCCCTTTCGAAGCCGAGCTGCTTCCTCCTTCAGCGTTTTGACTGTACGTGTACGGCACAGTCCTGCTGTGTCGACTCGGGCATTCGTTTCCTTCACGAACGGCGAACGTATCCATATCCAAGCCCTCGTGGTCTGGATTCCGGGGCGCGATCCCGCGGATACGCGGTCGCACGGATACATACAACTGTAACTGGTCCTGCGCGGGGCATCCGCGAAATGACGCTCCGTGCCCGCGGGTTCGCGGCCTACCCCGCGAGGCCGTGGATGCGGATATGTCGCCGCGCCGTCTGTCTCGAACGCGCCCAAGTGGACGACGCCGACACCACGGCAAATCCACGGCAAGCCCTGCGTCCCGCGCCCCAGAGAGACGGCGCTGGCACCGCGGCAAACCCACGGCGAACCCACCGCACCTGAGGCGGCGCTTGCCCTGCTGCCCGCGGCGCCCTCCCCAAGACGGAGGACCGCGCGTCGGAACGCACGACGCGCTGCCGAAAGGGGCCTCCACCACGCGCCCCACCAACCCTGCACGATTGCGGCCCCCCGGCAGCGCAGGTCCCTCGGCAGCGGTCGCCTCAGGACCACCCGGCGGCTCTCGGCCTCTCGAACGCCCGCGCCCGGAGCCGCCGCCGCGCCGATGCCGCGTCGGCGCCACCAAGACGGCACTGGCGCACCCCGCATGCGTTTGGCCACCAGTGCGCCGAACCATGACCTCGGCGGCGCGCCAGGGGGGGAACATGAGAAGGGGCGGGCC